AATATATGATTTTCATATATTTATTCTATCTCATTTATCACTTTCACGGGTTCATTACGAATCAACTTAACGGCCTGCTCTCAGTTGGCTTGTTAGCTCAATTGGTTAGAGCGCTGCACTAGTATCGCAGAGGTCAGTGGTTCGAGTCCCGTACAGGCCTGATTTTTTTCAGGTCTGAATTTCGCTATTGCTTAAATAGCGCTATCTACTGCGAGGATCGTGCATCATACGTATCAAATACCGCAGTTCAATATATGATTTTCATATATTTATTCTATCTCAAATAGAAGCTTAGTTGATCAAGGCACTGACACTAACCAACCACAACAGACATAAATGTATGCTACTCCAGCCATGGAAAAAAAAATTAAAAACCTGAGCAGTAATTCTTCATGAATCTGACTTACAATATTTAACAGTTGAGCCACTCTTAACTTGACTCTGATGACTACTATATTGCTCATATTGTGAAATTGTCTGCTGTTATCAATGACGTCAGGTAAGTGATAATCTGACTCTCTTGAGTCTGCATCCTTTTATCTACTATGATAATTTATAAAATGGACAAGTAAAACTGACCTTCAGTGGAGATGCAATTCTTTCCATTGAGATGTAGCTGTTACTTGGGGAATACCAACGCTTTGCATTATAGTATGCTAACGTCTGCTTCTGGTGCTTGGCCTAAAGAGCATTTATCAAAAGGTAAACTATGAAAGACAAATCAACATTTTAACTTTTTCTCAAAAAAATAAGTAAATGTCAATCTTAGAATAGCGGGAGTCTTTACTTTTTAAAAAAAACATACAATCTCTTTCATTCATTGATATTTTTATTGTTCAAATTTCAAAGCCGTTGACATATTTCAATCTTGAATGTAAACTCAGTCAGCAGGGTATTCAAGGAGCCAGCCCCTGAGTGCACTGCTCACTAACCCAACTGATCACCAGCACATTAACAAACTTGGACTTGGTAATTTTTTAAACATCCTGCCACAAGATGAGAACATGAATAAAAGGTTCAAATCTCTCTTCAGTTGATTACCTGAAGGTCAAGTGATTTAACTCTGGGGGGAATTTTTGAACCACTAATGGAAAAGTCAACAAGTCCACTTTCTGGTACAATGAAATATTTATCAAGCAAAGTCCTCCCATTTCCTCGTATAACAATCTTGACTTGTTCCCCTTTCATTGGACTTCCATCAGGCAAGGTGGCTTTTACCTGTATGAGAAAAGATAGCAATTAAAAAGAAATGAGATTCAAAAGATACAAACATTCATAACTTACTGTAACCAGAAATTGACAGAGGTCTAGAAGAACTGACCAACTTCATGGGAAATAAGGGGGAAAACATCGTATTCTATATATGTTTCCTTACTGTTCAAACAATGTGTTTACCAGTGATCAGATTATTACATGTGGAAAGAAATTGATCTTGTGAGACTTGAGGCAGAAAAGACAATCAGAAAACATTATTATGCCATTTGGTTCAAGTTATCAGATGCAACAGTATAATATAAATGACCGGGTTAAAATTAAGTACATGTATGGACTAGAATTTCCCTGAGTAATAGGTTTTGGTTTGAGCAATAGCAAGCTTCTAGTTACAGGGAGTTAAAGTACCAAGGAATGAACAGCTCTATTTAACCCTTTTCACCCAAGTATCAGAATGCATATTCTCTATACTGTTCCCTAAACATTCCCTTCATGCAGTGCTGACGAGGAGAATTTGTTGTTTTCATTATGACTCAAGAGCTTTTTAAGTCAGTGATCATTTCCCTTATTCTCAAGACCTTAAAGTGTGATTCATGGGTGATATTTTAAGAAGAAGTTAGACACCAGTCAATCTTGGGGTCAAAGGTTTAATGCAAATTTAATTGGATTGTAAGTATTCTTAAGTCATTTTAAGAAATAATGAGGGGCACTAGGGAGTTGTTTCTCATAATAGCCTAGCTTCCAAAATAATCATATGAAAGCTTATCTTATTATCATGCTGAGCTGGCTGAGGTTTGAGAATCTTGTTTCAAGTCTTTTCCAAAGTATTAGCCTACAGTGCAGGCATCTTGACAGGGTGAGATATTGCATGCTAAGAAGCACACAATCGTTTATTCAACCAGCCATGTTTAATTTAGAGTCAGAGTTGACAGTGGGGGGAGGAGGCAGGAAGGGGGAAATAATAATAATATCAATATTCACTTCCCCCACCCTCATCCCCATCTTTGTTTTTTTCACTGTCACTCACCCCCTTGGTACAAATTTCCTTCTCTTCGTAGCCTTCCTCTTCCATTAAAATCAAAGATGACCACCGTAATTTTCACTAAGAATATATGGAGCACTTGCCCACCAAAATTACACCTGCTCTACAGGCTACCAAAGTATAAAAGTCAATGCCAATAACTTCATCCACCTGGCAGAGGGCCATTAACCCTTTTACTCTCAAGATCTCACTAAAAATTCTCCTTACTGTTTGCTATGCCATTCTTATGATGTTAGTTTGGAGAATTGGGTATTGGATCAACTAATGATCCCCTTATCTATAATTATATTTCTTTGTTCTAATCACTTATCTGCTTGATATTGTAGTGATAATGTAAGGAGACATTTCATTTTGGTCACCCATGTGAGTTATAGGGTTAAAAACCTGTAATTAGGATCTATACCACAGAGTATTCTTAAAGTCTCAGAGTGGGAATTCACTCCACAGTAACTGGCATTTTACCAACACAAATATAGTTAGTGTACATTCCTCCAGGCGACAACTAGCATCAAAATTTACTGTTTTTTTCTTGTTTACTGTAATAGTAGAAATAATTCCTACCTGCCCACCATAAGCCATGCCTGGCTTAAATTCTTTTGGTGTACTTGGAAGAAACCGCAGTTTTGTTGTTCCTCTGACAACCTGACTTTCTGTTCCTGTAGCATTTTGAGAGACCCCTGTTGCTGCTTCCTTTACAGTAGCATTGATGGCAATCTTTGCACTGTTACAAACATAGCAGTAGTAATAGGAGTACTCCTTAAGTTTTTTCAACACATCATCTGTCTTGATAGTTACATCTGTGCAGCCACTGATCTGAAAAAGATAACAACTACAGTAATTCTTGGTTACAGCTAGTGGAATTAAAATAAATCGAGATCCTTGACATCTTAATGTTTATTTACAAGTTTGCGAAACAACAACAATATGGACAGGCATGACATTTTCAACTAAGGGAAGGTACGTTTTTTATTGGGGGTGGTGGGCTGGGGCTTAGGAGGGGAGGGTCATTAGTAAATATTTTATAAATTGGGGAGGGTCAAACCTGTTTGATACCCAGCCGGGGAGGTCACACTTTTTTTTTTTTTGGCAAGGAAAAAACTACTCCATGTCGGTTAGTTGACTTTTAATTATTTGTTACCAAACATGCAAAGTGTATAGAAACCTAAAACTTATATATACAAGCAAAGCTACCAGTCTAAATCAATCTACATCATTTTAAACACATGTCGAAATATATGTCAAAAAACTATCTTGTCCCAACTAACGTAATTGTCTCTCTCAACCCATGCCCGCTTTCATCCATATTTTGACGTCGGTAATGTTTCCGATGTGCTACCAACTGAGTCAGAGGAGTAGTGGGCATCCCTTTTAGAATGGCAAGTCGGCAAACAGCCACAATAGCCACAAGGTGCTCCATCTGACCTCATGAAATCCTCGCATTCTCCACAAGCGCATTTCCCCCTTTCTATTCCTCGCACATCCTTGCCCATTTTCAAGTTTTCACCATGCAACGTCATGCAATTAACTGCTTTGTACGCAGACACGGTTATGTGAGCAACACTTATGGTCAGTTATTTTCACTTCCGGTTATTATAGTCTTGGAGGAGGTTGGGGGAGGGTCAGATCCTTTTGTTTAAAGGCATTTATGAAGGGTGATGGATTAATCCAATCTGGAAAGTGGGAGGGCCACGACTTTTTTGGCAAAAATTTCTAATACCCCAGCCCACCCCCCCCCCAATAAAAAAACGTACCTTCCCTAAAATAAGCTCTTTGAAACAAAATCAAAACTTGTCCAAGAGCAAACCACTGAAAAAAATTTCATAAGTTTGATTTTCATCTTAGACAAAGCCACATGAAAAAATTTAAAAACTTTGTAGCTCTTTTGAATAACTAAAACATCAATGGGATATTTTTGCTCCAAGCTTTCCTATAAATTGTACCTCCTTCTCTGTTGTTATTTGCATTTCCATAGAATTTCTTCCCCAATACCAGTCAGGTAGTTTCATTTGAAAGAGCACTGAAACAGTTCCTTTCACTGGCTTTCCATAGGTGTATCTATGAAAAAAATCCCACAGTCATAACTGACACATATCTTGAATCTGTAGACTAACTTCTTATGATATCTAGGACCCTGTAAGCATAGCAATGGAATAAGTGTTATCTGTTTTTCTTTCCATGTATAACACACACCCTGTCTTCACCTTGTGCAGTATCATCCCACTTCCTTTCGCCCAAAGCTCTCACTCCTTATTCAGAGAAAAACAAATGGCAGAAACTTACTGATACACTAACCACAGATCCTGTACTGTCACTCAGAAATATTTCAAGGAGCTGCATTATACATTGCAACATGCATTGTTTATAATAATACAAGAATACAAGAACACTCTTACTACAAATCAACATGTCTGACTTACTGAGCACAAACAGTTGCTTTAATCTCTTTGCTTTTTATGGCTACAAATGATGGAGGCTCAATGGTCACTTCAAACTTTGGCAGCACTGTAAATAGAAGAAGTTATGGCAAGTTTCAAGTTTAATTTGGCATAGTTGTTTGCCTCCCATAGCCACCAGTGGTGAGTAAGAAAGGGGGTTGTCTGTATAATTGCAACATTTCAGGGCATAAAAAAAGATGATAATTTGAAAACATTCATGTTTGGCATAAGCTTGCCAGCAGAGGTCCCATCAATCTTCATAAGATAGTCAGGAAGAGTTTTCCCAACTTTACTATAGGAAGATTGAAGGGTTTTCTGCTGGCAGGGTAGTTTGCCATATCAATATGTACCCTAAAAACTATCGAAGTTATTAATATTGATATTATTGTCTATCAGAGAGACACTCATTCAGTGTTTTGTGAGAATCAAACTATGTGAGAAATTCAAACAAAACTACATTGGATTTCATGAAGTGAGAAACATATTTTCAATATCCTCACTAGCAGGACACTGATGATACCACTTCCTGCTTTTTCATGGTTGTTTGAGCCAACTGTTAATCAAAAGCAGCTAGCAAAAGATTCATAACACCCTGATATAAACACCTGGTATGAAACAGTTTTTTCTTTACGTTCTGTGTATGAACCGATAGATGGCATACATATATGTTAGCCAATCAGAACTTCCCATTCACATTACAAAATTAGACAGTACAATCTTCTTAATATATTTGTTCATGAAAAGACGTACCATACTTATCCACGGAAAAGACAAGTGTTTCTTTTTCACCCTTACATAAAAGAAAGATTTTGTTAAAAAAATTACCTTAAGTTTGTAATATCAAATCGATAGACTATGGGTAGAACAAAGCTCTTTAATTGGTCAGCCAAAATGAATCCCTTATACTATAAAATGGTTAACAGACCAAGAGGCACAAGCAAAGAAAAATGAGCCCTGTACTGTGCAGTACATGTACTTAGAGCAAACCTCACAAGTCCCCTTCCTAAAACTAAACTGAAAACATTTAGTTCTCAGCACCTCTTCAATAATTAACTCAGTTAACTCTTCATAGGTCCAATCTTTGGCAAGTCAACAATAGGGATATGGCCCAATGTTTTTGTTCTCATTTTGTAATGCTTTGTTTTGCTATGCTCTAAGCATTGAGAGCAGAAGCCATGCATGGACATGTAACAATTCAAATTTTTCATTTTTCCATTATATTTTTCTAGGATTTAATTTCCTTTTCGTGACCTACTAACAATAGTTATCATTTTTGCATGACCTGTAATAGATGGGGTAGATGACTAAATCACTGTATTTCTTTCTTCACTGTTCTTACAAAAATTCAATTCAATTCAATTCATTGACTTTCCATGCCTAGAAAATGAAATCATGAAAATTAAAAAACTCTTAACTGCAAATTTTTTCAGACCCATGTGAGTCCTGTATTATACCTTAACCTCGGCCTCAATCTTCCAGTCGCCGAGAAGAGGCTGGCTTGATAAAGGAAACTTTAAACTGACAATTCCTAAGGTATGAATAAAATGCAAAATAAGGCATTGCATTAATATGTTTTTATTTTTAAGGAATAGAAGAAACTGAAGTCTTATCTGTAACACTTCATGCATGAACAAAAAGCCTACATGAGTGATAAGGAAATGGTCCTCATGCCATGTATCTATGCTCTGTAAGTAAGTTTGGCTTAAACATGGAACTATGATTATTCTGTATAAAAGACAAAAAATAGCACTCAGTAACTGACTCACCACCAACAAAATCCACATTGTCCCATTGCATCGTGCGTACTTTACCAGGACTCTAAAAAAATTGTCAATAACCAGCAACTGAGTACACTACCGTAGAAAGCAACATGTAGTTTACACTCAGAGATAAGCTGCACCTCAAGTTTGGCCATCCTTTATCCAGTTTTGGATAAAGAGCTTTTGAAAAAGAGTTTTGAAAAAATGCTTCACTTTGGTTGCTTCAGTGAATGAACATGAGTGCAAAGTCACCAGTCACATTGACATTGGAAAATACTCTGAATCCTAAACTATAATTTTAGCTGTAATAGTATCATAATGGAAGTCATCTATAACTACATTAATGTTTGATCTTATTCTAGTATTGTTCAGACAGTATTTTTGTCAGATTTCAACAGATTTTGACATAAAACAACAGGAAAGCTCTAGTATGTTCATTGAGTCATTCGTATCTTAGTGACCAGGCATTTGATCAGTAGAAAGGGTACTTAACACAAGAAGCTTTTAAAGCATAATTTTCATGACAGTGCATGACAACGTTCCTTATTAAGTACTGTTTCGCTGCCCGAGGAAGCCAGGGCAAACTTTTTAAAACCAATTAAAAGTTTCTTAATGAAAGGTTTTAACGCCATTGAACAGCAAGTGTTTTAATTTATAAACATTATCCAGATGTTATTCCAGATAAGCCCCACTTCTGATTTGCTGCAAAACATTTCAGGGAAAAAGGTGCAGCAAATATGCTGGTGTTTACCGTACTTCATTATCATTAAAACAAAAGAAGTTGCCATTTCCAAGAGTATTTATTCAATGGTATCTTCCAATAACAAGAATATAGTTATTGACCACAAACTACTGAATGCCAAATAATTTTACTTACAATGATGGAAACTCTATTGACCTGCAGAGAAACATCACATGAGGCATAATTAATAACAATTCTATGAGTCAACTATTCAAAAGAAGTGTTCTGCTGTACCATAACATTTTGCAATATAATTTGCCTAAAAAGTCAATAAAAAATAAATTTAAATTTGATAGATCTGACCTGTCCTGCTAAGGGCTTAAGGTTTTCATCCACACCAACAATACGCATATTCACTTAAAGAAAGAAAAGGTAAATAAAACTTTGTTAATGAAAACTGCAAGCCTTTTGTAAAAAGTTTACTTTTGCTAGCAGATAGCTCAGAAGGAAAAGTCTACAGGATAGTCACTGTTGCTAATCTTTTCTTTTACAAAAGAATTGACATTCATATCTGTCATTTTGGTGGGGTTGTGAAACACAGTTTTGGCCCCAAGGGGAAGGGAATTGGAACAAACCAACCTTCATTAGTTTAGATGCTTACAGGGCTTGCCCAAGGGGTGTGGGAAAGGGGGCTTGAAGCTCTGAATTGAATGATGCATTATCAACTCAGTTGATAATATCAAGTTTTCTTTTACTTAACAAATGGTGAATGCCATAGCGTGTTCTGTTGAGTTATGGATACATGCGGGAGGTTGCTAAGCATGAAAGAAGCATAAGAGTCGCACTAGGCTATCGCCTCGTGCTATTCTAGCTTCTTGAGTCCTTAGCAAACCTCCCAAGTGCAGCCATAACTCAATAGTGCACGCTATGGCATTCACCATTTGTTTTATAACATAACTTATTGAGCTACATCGCAAAAAAATGTTTGTGTAGTCTTACATGACAAGAGAAAACAAGCGCGCGAAAATTCATTCATAARAACCAACTGCAAACCAGCAACTCAATAAAGTTTAATCATGCTTCCTGAAATAACGACCAAAATCCTCTTTATAAGGTCTGTATCCAACAACCGGTGAAAGAGTTCAGCAGAACTATGAACAAACTGTGGCGTTTACCATTTGTTTTATAACATAACATTGATACATTAACAAATCTTACGTGATCAGAAAAAACAAGCACGTGCGGAAAAGCAGTCATAGCATTTGCTCACGTCAGCAGCATACACCCATGGGCAAATAGTAGATGCTGAATTAACCGATCAGAGCACGCGCTTTGCTTTAGTTATCTTATAATTACCATTGTTTCTCATTTGTAGGCTCAGAAGTCTCATTATTATAATTCCAAACAGAATTTAGAAGTCATTAGCAGTAACCAAAAATAGCACTTTTGGTCTTAATAAAAGAAACATCTTTTTTATCTTATTCTTGTAGCAATAGCTGTAGATAACTAAATAAAGTACTAACCTAGCCCTTTAATTCCCAAGATCTAATTAATATTCAAGTTCTCCCCACCGACTGCCATAAATTTAAATTGGTTGCGAGAAGTCGGTGTAATGACAACATAACACTCTCTTTCTGATAAGCTCATCTATTCTCCTTACCTGTTTGCTAGATAACATATTTGAATCACAGGGAGAAGTTGCAAGTTAATCACTTAAAAAGGTTAAGGGGTAAAAGCCCTTTTGGTAAAGGACATGGTTCTATCTCACAGTTTCTCCACCCACAGGTAAAATATCCTGATAGAATTTGCTAAAATTACCTGTCTGGCCTGGTTTGTAGATTGGCTTGTCTGTTTGAATGAAGACAGAAATCTTCGGAATTTTAATGGTTATTGTTTCACTGTGCTGAAAGACAGACCTTCCATGAACTGTTCTTCCAAAGACGTTCAACTTTGCTTGAAAGCTGTTCCTCTTATTGGTTTTCAAATTTCTTGGTATCTTGAAGGAAACAAACAAATTCAGGTAACAAACCCATCACATATGCAAACAATGTTTGAATTATCATTTCTATATTTTTTATTTCCCACAGCAAAAGCATTTTTGCAAAAGAGTACAAGTAAATGTGTGCAGTGAATGACAAACGGCGAATTAAAACATACACCTTTGCATGTAAACCACTGCCTGTGACTGTGTAACTTTTTTATTGCTTGCACATTACATAGGAGCCATTTTAACATAGATTAAAATTTTCCACACACAAATTGCTAAACCTGGTTAAGAGTAAATTTGGATAATTTTTTCCACCAAAGTTCAAAGTGTAGTAAAAGATATATTCTACCTCCCTTTAAAATATTACTAGTAAGAGTTACTCTGATTTGAAAAAAAAAATGGGTCATTCAAGAAGATTTTGAACCTTTGATACACTTACTTGGAGTTTAAGGGTTCCTTCTGAGTCACTAGTGAACTGTGCTCCATCACTAGCTATAGCATCACCCCCTCCTGACCTGTAGGTCAGTGAAGCATTGATGGACCATGTTTTAGACACATTAATGAGACTGACAGATAATTCTTGGGTGCTGCCAGCACGGAAAAGTCTAGGGCATGTTATAAGGTAGCCACTGCATAGAAAGAAAACAATGAAAAAAAAAAAAAAAGCAGTCAAAAGTGACAATGATTAGTCAGAAAAAATTGGGGAGCTCAATATGTTGCACATTTAGGATGTTAGAGACTTCACAAGTGGTAACATCTCCAAAGGGAAGGACTGGAGTGAAACCTTGCAGATAAATGCAACTTTTTAAAAGTTTAAGTGAAATATTATTCACTATCATCCAGAGGTTTCAATAAAAGCCTTATCTCCACCAAAAAAGTATATGATTCTTTTCTTTTCTGGAGAAGAACTACACCTATCAAGTTTTTTTTTCTGTGAGTTAGCTGAGCACCAATATAAGACAATGCTATGCCTTAGAAGAACAATTCACACAGGACCAAATTAAGGCTCCAGTTTTACCTCCTCTGGAAAGAAGACAAAATAAATTACCTATTACACATGTACCGGGATAATTGCAGGTTTCACTATTTTTCAGTTTGATTCATTTCGTTTAACTGATCTCTAAACTTTCATTTTGAAAATCTTCTCTTATCTCTCCTTTAAATTTGGAGAAATAAGTTGATAACCAAATTATAAATATACCATTAAAGGTTTTGTGAAAATCAGCCACAAGCATACAGCTGTCTCGTGTTTCTATTGCTTTTCTTTCTGTGTGAAGTAAAGGAAACGGGATACATCTCAAAACAAAAGAATAAAATATCGAGGAAAAAGTAAACTTACATTATTACATTGTACAAGTAAGTCAGCAGGCTCTTTCTTCAATCTTCAATACTTCTGATAAAAATTCGTTGTAGTCACTCTTAAAATTCTTGAAAATTTTCTACGATCCATTCAAAACATAATGGCACCCTTTTTGAGCATGAAACCACCTATTTTTGGCAAACCCTGGGAGGAAACTTACAGCCAAACATGGCGTAAACATTGACTGAACTCTATCGACTCGACCTGATAACGAGGTTCAACTTCGAATAAACCGCGAAGATGTGCGGATATCACTGATTCGGAAGGAGATATGTGTTTCCCACGGATCAAACCAATCTTCGAAAAAATTTAGAGAAAGCTGCGACAGTTAACACCCGCTGTGAATTGTTTTCAACACAACAATAGTAGATATAAATATCACTGATCAAATTCATGACCCCATAACCCTGACTATACTTAGTCAAATATTCTGCTCGCGCGCGTGATATGTAGAAAGAGTAGAAAGTAGCAGTAGAAATTGATTGAAGATTGAGAAGCATTTTAGTGCTTTTACAGGAGAAGAGAAGTACAGCCAAAGCTGTATTGAGAAGAGCTAAGCCGGCGCCCTGTGTTTTCTATATGGACTTTTAACTGAACCCTTGAGTGACCCAAAATCTGCACTTGATGGACACTTCAAGAGTTTTTACAGTGTACCTTAGCTTGACAATATTTAAAAAAACAAACAATGTTTTTAAAATCGTCGTCATTTTACGAATAGGTAAGGAGTTCATAACAGGTAAACAAGTAGCCAATTATATTTGTTGATGTACGACAAAAACTGAAAGGTAAAGTTTAAAATCATTGCATAATTTGTGTATTAGGCAAATTGCGTATCAAGTTTACTTGAGCTAGGGTCCCCTGAGTGTCCTTTAGTGTACGAGTTTGTTTGTAACGTCAAACCAAATGCAACTGGATAGTAAATGACGGCGAGTGACGTCCATGTAAGGGGTTTTTACCGCGCAACAGAAATATTGTGCCATGGAGACAGTTTTAGCGAGCTTCGGCTCTCGGAAAAGCTGTTTTGCTTTTCGGAGACATGTATCCGAACATATTTTCCCGCAAACTGCCGTCTATTGTTTATCTGATTTAAGGGATCATAATAATTTGCTCGAAAATGATAGATAATATGTGATTCAATAGGATTTGGAACAACTGTGGGTAATTTCTCAAGATCTTGTGATTTCTGATACAGACTTCCTGAAAAGCTGAAAAGCACCACGTTCCTTCGAGTTCGATCGTTGACGCTGTAATTTTTTCAGTACGGCATATTTCACTTAATACTGTGCAGTTTCATTTCGAATGACTGGTATGTCTAGAAATCAATTTAAGAGCTTACCAAATTAAAAGTTTTACGGATATACCATTTATCTACCTTTTATCTATAATCTTTAATAGACTGTCATCGAGGCCCTGGCACAGATACTCCGCGGCTAAAATTTGTGTGGGTTTATACTGACTCTTACGTTGTGATGACAGAAAGAAATATTAAAGCGCTTGTACGATTTTGGAAGAGGTCTAACGTACAATATACCCAAGCACGTCGTCCAAAGGCGCAATTTCCGAAGAATATTTCTTTAAAAGCGATGTTATCTGAAAAATTGCCCGAAAGCAAGAAGACAGTACATGTTTAGGCTTACCTTTCGACAAGACTCCCGGATTGAACTAAAACTGCGGCTAAGACAAGCGCAACTGTTGCCTTCATCTTTATCTTGCTCGCGTCTAGTGAGCAAAGATGTCTTTACGTGTCAATGACCCGGCGATCTCGTTTCTTATATAACGGGGGAGGCTGAAACGGTTGCGCAAAATTGAAATTAAGAACTTTCGCACCCACGGCTTCCGTTTAACGAATTGAGATGATAAAGGAGAGACCTGAAGAGATCATGACACTTAATGCGAAATCTAATACTACCATTCCCTAACTCTTCCCCACAGGTGATGAAATTTGTAAATCAACCCAAAAATAATTGTTCCATTTTTTCCTAGAATTTCAAACCCTTAATGAAATAAACATGGAATAAGTAGTAAGATACCCGGACGCAAGAAAATCTAAAAGGGATTTGTAATGAAGACGATTTTCAGCTGAAAAGTGAAATCTCCCTGAGTGCGTCCATATTAGTGATGGACTAGGACTAGAATTCGTGAATAAAAATTTTGGTGAGAAAGGCTATCCTACTCTGATAAGTAATTCTGTGCTTTTAGGTGCTGCCATTCCCATGAAAATTTGGAATGAGAAAACATCCCTATGCTGAAAATTTTGACAATCCTCATGTTCATTTTCCTTTTTCCCATCTCATAATGTTATGTATGGAGCAGATTTTCGTTGAGGATTACTTGAGATATCCAAAATTCTATTCTAAAGCTGGCTCCACTTCGACTTAAGTATTGACTATTTATACTTCTGTAACTTCACCCCAAAACCAATCTCTACTCAGAAATGCCCTACAAGATCTTAAAAACCGCAAAACTGATTACCTTTGGACTATGATTTGTCTTAATCGTTAATCCTAATTACTAACTTCTTCCGTTGAAACAGCCTCACGTACGAAGTTTGTTCCTGAAAATTACGAATGCGTTAGCTTTTACATTTCGTAGGTGTTTGGTCCTACGAGATTTTTCCGTGTGAACTTAGAGTTATTTTTTTGAAAATGAGCTTTTTAGAAATTTTACGTCTTCAAATAAGAGTTCGGTTTCTCAGTACGTCTTCTCAGTTTTTAATTTTCAATAGTAACAAAACAACAACAGAATCATGCCAGTACTCAAGTGGACACAAAAATTCAGGCCGTGATTTTTGGTAACCTTGTGTTTTTACAACTGATTCGATCCGGAACTGACGTTCGTCAAGCCCATACCTGACCGCCTGCGGTTTTAAGTAACTTTGTTCCCTCATGACAGTTTTACGTGATTTATTTTTCTTAGAGAAACAATTTTTTTGCGTTGAGGGGTAAATGAAATTTCTGGAGAAAAGTGTATTTGCAATTTTCTGTTTAAGCGGCAGAAAATTCTACCAGAATGACCTGTGGAGTCATACGAAGGGAAGCTTTTTAGTAGCTGATTCGTGGATGGATGTTTCGAGTAAGCTCGAACACAAAGAATACGAATGCGTAGCTTTTACATTTCTTAGGTGTTTGGTCCTACGAGATTTTTCTGTGGGAACTTAGAATTATTTTACCGTTGTTCCGTGGCAAGAAGCAGGAGCCCTACAACAGTTATCTCCTTTGGGAAGTCTAGATGTTAAAATATGTCATTCATGACTCCTCACGTCTTTTGAGATCCCATAGGGTAGCCTAGCCTAGGAGCTGGCCCTCAGTAAATCGTCGTTATTAGCGTTTCGGCAAGAGCAGTTTCTTCGCCTGCAGGAAAGTACAGTCAAACTTGTATTTAGCGGTCACCCACGGGAAATGGCGGAATGATCACTAATACAAGTTGACTGCTAAGTACCCTTTCCACAGAATAGGGGTATTTTAATAAACGATAAAAATTGCCATTCTATCCATCATCATCATCATCATCATCATCATGTTTATTTGTTCAAGCAGGTTGAATTTATTGGCAACTGTATAAGCTGATGTGGACCTGCTGTTTTCCCACAATTGACCCGTAATTGAGCACTTAATGTACAAAAAAATCACTTTTAAATCCCACTGACACCGATTTCGGGAGGCAAAAATTAACTAAATTTAGTGTTATTCGAGTGGTCACACTACAAGTCACCGTTCAGCACAGGTGGAGGATATTAGAAAATTGTTTTTATCTTGGGACATTGGGACTCAGTTAAAGGCGACCGCGACCGCTTAATAGAGATGAAGATTACAGTAATTACGGGGAAACAAATCTGGGCATAAATTCCATCAGTGTGCCGAATATACAACTCACAAAATAAAATAGCTCTATTCGGGTATTTTTTTTTTTATGTAAGGCATTTTATAAATCGCCACCTTAGCAAAGAGTAACATGTCATCTAAAGATATCCTTAACAGACATGAGCAACGACTGAAATAATCAAGGCCCATTTCTCAATTTCAATTTATTTCCTGTTATTTAAGACTTGAACAGCTTTTTAAGTGGAATCTCTTCTTCTGAAAAGAAGTTCTAAAACAGAAAAATACTTTGTTGGACACAATAACGCTTTGCAAATTTCAGTTAGAGTCGAACCAAGTCAAGTGTAAGGCCACAAATTCCATGTGGATCGATCGTTCCCATAATGGTTCCATTAGTTTTGGACGTTTTGGACCGCACCAAATCAAACTCAATACGTAATGTAAGGTTCATTTTTCAGACAGTAATTGCTCAAGATTCAAAGACCTTTCTGACTTTAGAATGGATAAACTTCTAACGGAGGCTACCGTACAGTGCTGTGTTGTGAAGGCTGAAATATATTAGATCGAGGCGAAAGATAAGGAACGCCATGCTCAAATATTGCGCTTGACATGATTCGATTTTAACTGGTTTAAAAGTTAGCAAGATAAAAACAAATATCAAAATAGAAAACTAAACGTCAGTGACTTGGATGAAAGCATACAATACAATTTGAGTTTTAAGGGACCAACGTACTCCATGATATTTGGAGAAAATTTTTGCATACAACAAAATTTCCTTCCAATTATTGACTTGAAAGCATTTGTTCTGAAACTGTGACAATAAAACAGGAGGCAAGAAATAAACGAGGAGCAAGTGTGGTGAGGATGAAAAAAAGAAAAATTTTGGCAGAGTGAATTTTTGCCGCAACTCCGCTGGGCTCGGTTTGCGTCCGTTCAACCCCGTTTCCAAGAAGAGAGAGGGCCCTGGAAGCGAAGTTTGCGTCAATTACTCATCACTCACAGTTCGAAACAAGATTGGTACAGAAAGGAACCTTTGTTAAGGCCGATCGAGGTTCACATGAAAACTGGTCACGTTTCTAATAGTACAGCCACTTGAATTCATGACTGATAAAATATGGCTAAAACCTATTTCGGTACCGTACACTTAAAAAGTAAAACGCAATATAAAAATTACGGGGGCGTAAGATTTCCTGAAGGGCGCTCAAAAGATAACATTACAACCTTCTTTGTTACTTGTATACACACGTACGCATTTACAACACGGTTAAAAAGTATATTTGCAAGCAGTGTGTGACTAAGTTTTGATTTCCAGTGGAAAGGTTAGGCTATTCGTGGAGATGAGTGGGTAGGAGAGCCGGACCATTTTCTAAGTTTTCGCTAACTTTTTTCTGTTATCGATCGACCTCAACATACCCAATGTTCATTACAGCATTCAAATCAATTTGGACCAAATAAACAGCAAAGATTACTAATTCAAAATACAGAGGGCGAATCCACACACACAAAAAAATATGTACACTCAAAGTACTCTCAATCGAAACTAGAGCATCGTTTTTCAAATTTGATTTTTCCGGCTTTCCTTGCCCGACACCTTTCAAAACTATTCTATACTCTTCCACATCGTGGATACCATTACTATGATCGCCGATCGTTAGGAACAAATTGTACAGATACCGAGACTAAAAAAACCAGGCAACAGGCCACCCAGTCTTACATCAAATTACAGCAGTTTTGTTAAGACTGCCTCAGTCACGACCAAGACCAAGTTCAACACAGCCAATGAACAAAACACCGATGATCCTGAGAAGCTGAAAGAAAACGGTCTCTTAGGGCACGGGAAGCGCGGGAAAACATGTTTGAGCTGAACATAGGTCGCCGTCTGATTGGCTACAAACACCATACTTAGAGATGATTGGTGAGGGCAAATGAGCCACATTCAATAGCCAATCAGAGATTTAAATGCGTAAACACGAAACCTCATGTAAGCATATTTTCAGAGACAGTCTTTACAAAGTGAGAAAAAACGGGCTTCTGACGAACGAATCTAATTTGATGTCTACAAAGATAATGAAGAAGATGAGACTTAAATAATAAAGTGAACGTAACTTCTTGTACATCTGTACATTTAAAAGGATATCTCCAATAAAATAATTTAAAAAAATATATATCAATGCATCAAGCGAGAAAACATATCGAAGAGTAATTCTACAAGTGTCTTGTGGACTGACACAGCAGAGTGTTCAATTTAAAACACACAGACTTGTTGAAATATAGACAATTCATAAACCCAAAGTAGGAAAATAAAATATCGAATTTTCAAAAAAGCTTTCTGTTGATGTTTTGCGTTAATCTAACAGCTCCATGCCGCTTTACTCTCAAACTACACATCTTTAAAACAACATTTGTGCCTATCATAAAAAATAAAGAATTTCAACGGTTTTCGAGCAGCTATGATTTGCAAACATTTCAAACGTACAATTGATCTTTTTGCAAATAAGCTTACAAGTAAGCACGCACTGTAAAAGATCATGAACAGACTTCGGTAGGACTGACCCCCTGGAGATTGGACTACGAAGTGCCAATTGACAGAGGGATAAAAAAAATATGACATATTTTCACAAAGTAGAGCAAAGTCTAACAGGAAAGGGTCAAAATTCCAGCGCCGCGCAGTCAGAAATGTCGTTGATACCATTGTTATTTGGCGAGATTTCAGCGACAGAAATAGACGTCGCAGCATTAACACTCCTACTTCATTTCTTGTGTGCGCTTAAACTGACACTAGCATGTAAGTATGAACTGAACACGGTCGCCAAAGGGAGCGTTGACTACCCTTTGCAAATATTCATTGCACTAGGTTTCGAGTAATTGTATCTAGAGATCCTTGCCTAACTTGCCTTAACTTAGTTGTCCCAGACAGGTAATTGAGGACCTTAAAAATTCGTCAAGTAAAAAGACAGTCGAAAAAAAATTTCTTCCTGGGGGGTCTTGGCACGAGCCCAAGCTGAAGCGTAAGCTCGTTTCCAGGCCCTCTACCAAGGGGAAACGTGACATCTCGTTGTTCTCTCTCGCCGAGTTATAGGACCGTTGACTTACTGCTGGGCATCATATGAGACGGGCTGGAATAGTAATATGGAGGAGAGTCCCCTCTCTTGGTAGGACCGGACACCTCAAAAGGAAAATGTGAGACGACGTTAAACTAGAGATACACTGCCAGGTACTGTTAGCCTGTAGTGCCGGCGTATTTTGGGCGCACGTGTGCACATTTTCGTATTAGGCCGCCATCTTAGATTTGGCAACTGTGGAGGATTGGGGCGAGGAAATATTTGCCGAGGAAGTACGTGTTCAGTGGAAAAATGGGCAACCTACTCCCTCGGCAAATATTTCCTCGCCCCAATCCTCCACAGTTACCAAATCTAAGATGGCGGCCTAATACGAAAATGTGCAAACGTGCCCCCAAAATAAGCCGGCACTGCAGGCTAGGTACTGTAGCCCACATTCTTTGTAGATGTGGCTTACAATTCCCCAATAAAGTTCCTCTACATTTCTTTTAAATTAGTAAGAAAAATTTAGTGTTTCATCAACATAGTAATACCCTTCTGTGATAATTGTCTTTTCTCTGCACCTGTTTCCTAACTTTTCCACTGATATTGTGAAGAGAAGTTACATGTTAATCGGCACAAAGAATTTTAACCTTCAACTTTCATGAGTGACCAAGACAGAATTACTAAGTTCTTTTTGCTGGACGTTAAGCCTGCGTTTAAAAGCAAGTTTAGTATCACTTCTATTTTCAATCCTTTCCCCACAAGAGTGATAAAATAATAAATTCTTCTTCTTATCTGAATACACTATCAAGCAAACAGGTGACCAAAGGAAAGAAAATTATCATCCAGGAAAATGCCTTGATATGGTACCAAATTCTTATAAACAGCCGACAAACTGTATACTAAATGGGGGTAACGTGATATAGTACTCTGATCGTCCGGCTGAGTGTAGTTCTGAGGTAGAAGTACCGGACTTGGTACATTCGACGGACAACAACTATTCTCTTAACTATGATAATGGCTTCCGCTCAGGTTGTCGTGACGTCAGTCATTTCTCTCGACAACAGTCCTTCTCAGGACTACACACAGCCGGACGATCAGAGAACTCTATCACAAAGAACTGTATAGCCATCAGTTGAGAGAATCTAATCTTTTTTCAGATATTGGGGTTGAAATGATCATGGCACTTACCACATCGATGTAGTCCGTAGCCGAGTTTTTGACTGATGAATTGTGATGATTTCGACTTACTCCATTCAGCTGTAATGCTGCCTGATACATAACATGGCTGAAACAAGCAGATGCACATATAACAGTTGCGAACTCAGAAAAGGGAGGCTCTGCTGAAGTAAACTGTCTGAAGCGAGGGAAAAGGCGGGCGATTTAGTTTAGCTCTTGTTTTGCATCTGATTGACTGGGAGTGTTGCGCGAGATCAATTATGAAACTCAAACAATATAACACTTTTCGATTGACTGTGGCAAAACCAATACTAAAGCAATCACGACGACCAATCAGCAAAAAGGAAAGACCTTTAAGAGCCAATGAGAACTCAAGGTAAAAATAACCTAAAGCGCGGGAAAACGCCGGTGAGCAAGTCGTGATAAGTTTAGCGTCTGATTGGTGGAAAAAGTGGCACAAGTTTTCTGGACCAATCACAGAGGGAAATAAATTAAAAAAACAAAGCAATCCTAGATTACTTTGCTTTCTTTACACCACGCCATACGAATCTTACTTGGGAATACGTCCTTGATTTCTCGTGTCGTGTATGATCACTCCATTTGGGTACTCCACTTTCACGTACTGACCATCAGGGCTTCCATCCCGTGGCAATGGAGCCGTACGACTTGAAAACATTCCCTGTTGTTCTTGGCCAAACGAGGGTCGCCTCGGTAAGGGGTGGTTGTTGTTTGAGCCTGTAGTAGACCCTGGTCCAGTTGGCGTACCACCTGATAAAATTCAACATTTAATACCTTGATATTTATTCTTCATAGGCCATTTCCGAATTACCTCCGGCCTCTTTTTCAAAACGAGGCCTGGGGCTCAACCATTCTTGTGAAAATGAGACTAATTTGCATGTGAATAAAAACTTACCACCACATGAAAGGATGAGCACCAGGACTCGCTTTGGAAACAAAGCTAAAAGTAATTAGGAAATGGGCTATTGTTTGATAAGTTGAAATTTACGCGCATTTTGATTGGCTTTTATCTATTGGAGGAGAAACACATTGATGACGTCACCATTAACAACAACCTACTTTTTTTATCATACAAAACAAATACATTCTATTGTGCCATTCATCTGTACGTTTCGATCACAGGAGATGTCAAATGTACTCAGTATATCAGTGACACACTAAGCTTCGCCTCGCCAGCCACTTTTTTGTTCTTATCACGTTTTGAAGTCATCTACGATCTATTACGCAGGGAAACATAGGGTCTAGTTGTTATATGTTGACGCCATTTGCAAGGTTCTTGCTAAAGTTTTTCACAGGAGGTAAAAAATAAGAAACAGCAGGTAACTTTGTTACCTTCCCTCATGCTGGGGTGCGCGGGCCACATAGGCCCCCACCGGGGTCTAGGGGTAGGTTTTCCACGTGTGGACGCCATGTTGCCAACCGTGACGGTTCTCAATTAATGCTGGGCCTTTTCGCTTGGCCGTGAGAAGAATGGATGGAAAACATGGTGAAGGTCATTTCACGAGGTGACTGCGAGGGACGAACTTGGTAAAAAAAGCAGGATTTCTTTAACATATGGTGTATTTTGAAACTGGTAACATGTGATAGATATCTTCACAACATTGGTTTCCAAGAAATTAAAAAAAATCGTTGGATAACTTCAGTAAATATTTCAGTCCCGGGTCTCAGTGAAATAGCCGGTAACATTTACTTGAACAGCTGGTAAAAATAACCGGTTAGCGGCTCTTAACAAGAACCCTGCATTTGGGTGGAAAGCTTCAAAGGGCGAAACCCCTGTAGTGGTCAATAGGCCAACGACGAGCAAATCTTATGCGTAGTAAGACTATCATAACAGCTTATCAGAACGCAGACGAACACACTATGCAGGAGTTGGATATCTCCCTTACCACTTTCTACAATTTCAATTTCATCTCTCGACAAAGTTAACTTTTTTGGAGATGCGTAAAACGTGAAATCGTGTCCTAAAACCTACAAAATAGGTTTACGTTTAAGCATCTCGTCAACACAGGGATAAAAAGGAGCAAAATGCTCCGAGTACCCTTAAGAACTTTCAGACTATTGAAAGCACCTTACTTACCTGGGCCATGTTTTGTAGGTGACGCCGAGTCCGGACCTAATTCTAACAACACCTGTGAGCCCTTAGGAGCTGGAGGAGCTGACATGGCTGAGTACCCTGATTCACTGGACTGATATCCTAAGTGACTGTGCCGGTGTTGCCGATGATGGCGATGTTTTCCGCCACTTCCTTCCTTGACTCGGGCTACCGCCACTCGCGAGCGGATCACGTCCAGTGCTGGAACCATCTCCCTGTAAGTAGACAAACAAAAACGCGTTAAGCTCGTATGAGCACTTAAATTAACGACCCATTCACACCAAATCCGTCTACAAGTAAACGGCGTTTTCGATCGAGCACTGAAATCAGAGGTGTCCAAAACGATCTCTGAGGTGGATTATTTGAAAGTGCCAACTCGCCACTTTCGTTAGTTGTGAAAATCTACTTCTCAAAAGAAACTTTGACAGTGTAGTCGGAATGACATCCCGCAGCCGAGTGAAAGGGCATGAGTAACACCACCTTCGTAAACAAATTTTATCACATGGATTTCTGACACTGGACTCGCTACATTACATTAGGACAAGACACGCGTCTTTTCATCCAGTTGTAAAAATCGGTCTCAGTAAAATTGCCAGATAGACCTGACGAAAACGCTGTGGGAAGAGGCCGAGGGAAACTACAATGAACCATGTAAGATCCCGTCCGGAGAGAAGAAAAGCGGCCAATCACTTCATGCTACAGAACCAAAACAAACTTCGCCATACAGCTAGGCGAGTCAGTCTCGAACACATATATAATTTCTTTTTCGTTTATATTTATGCATTTTGTGTTGTGTACTTACGAGTCAGCATCGTCGCTGGTGACTTTACTGTGACGATATCTGGACGCGGACCCGTCACTTCTAGCGTCTCCCTCTGATGTCCGATGTCTATGACGGTGGTGATGGTGTGATCTGAAAAGGAAAAATCCTCCCTCAGGATTATTTCTAATCGGGGCTCGAACGTAACCTGGCATGTATTTTAATGGTTTTGATTCATTTTGCTCTGTGATTGGTATAACTGTATCGCCTCATTCTTTCAGCTAATCAGATGTAAACATGAAACAAATTAACCTTAATTCTGATTCGCCGGGGTAATACCTCTGATACTGGTTTGATGACACTCATTGAAAAGCGCCTGAAGTTAGGACGTGAAGAGAAAGGAAAAAGGCTAAACAGGGAGGTCAAAGGTGTTCAGAAGAGCGAAAGAATGAGGGATAACCTTGAACCCATCAGTCTCCATCGCAGCCATTCTTTGGAGAGTCAGGCGATGATCTCCTGAGAGAATAACATAAAATACCCCGTCTGATTTGACGATCTCGCAGGGCGAAATTCGTGCGATAGCTTTCCAAAAACTTTGGGGCTCTCTGGGAGCGGCTTATTCGTGGAAAGGAATGTTGTACGGTTAAAGTCGGGCTCACTCTTGGTGGGAGCGTTGTGTGATATTCCAAGAACGGCTGCGAAAGAGACTACTAGTATGTACCTATAAAAGCTAACAGAAACGTTTCGGACAGCTTCTGTGTCAAAACGACGTTATTTCTCAAATCTTTTAAAAAGAATAGTAAGGTAATCTTAAATTCGATGCCGAAAGAAATATTTGATGATTAAGCTGACCTTTCCGCCTCGGAGCCACTTCCTCTGTCTCTTCTTCCACCATCACCCATATGGTACGGAGCTGAGTCCGACATCTTGCTAAAATCAATATTTTCCCTGGACGATCTGACAACGAAGAAAAGCCCTGATGAGAATCTGGAACGAAGATACTGAATCCACCTTCACTTTACCCAAAGTACGACAAACTTACAGACAACCGTAATCTTAATAATTTCAAGGTATAATTTTCAGTGTTTTGCCAACTTTTTAAAACATCAGAGAGCCATCGCTACTTAAATATTTTGTTCAACCCATGGACCAGTTACTACGCTACGACAGTCACAGCAAACAACAACTGACAGAAACTAATGCACTCGGACTGAATAGCCTCCCACTTTGAGGAGACTTGCAAACATAACACTACAAGACTGATTGAATACAAACGAGCGATAGAAAATGACCCACACAACTGACGAACGCTATGCACCCCCAACACTTTCAGAAAACTGATCAATTACGCAGAGTTTAAAAGTTGATTTTTTTTGGCACCATACTTTGTCTACCAACGACACCTTCACATATGTTCCCTAAACCTTTTATTTAAAATGAGTCTGAAGACTGCACTGGTTTCGCTTATCCACGCCTCGCTCGGCGATTGGTCCAGAAAACTCGTGCCAACCCTCTTATCCAATCAGAAGCAAAACTTTAGCAAATTGGTACTTGGTCACTAGCATTTTCCCGCGCTTCGCGCAGTAAGCCACCTGGTATTTTCCTTTGTTTTGATTGGCTTTTGTGACAACTTTGGTTTTAGTTTTACGATACTCAGTGAACATGCGCTTTACACGTAAACCTCTTACCTGTGCCGTCTCCTCTCCTCTCTACTGTAGGACGAATCACGGTCGCTTCCTGACTCAGCTGAATGATGGCCTCTATGATGGTGATGACGACATCTGAAAGAAGAGGAATTCAGATCAAAATTGACTCACCTAAAAATTTGGCTGTTATTATGATAAACAAAGCATTATCAAGCAGACGAGTTAAAAGGCACTCTCTCAAACTCCACTCACCCCCCCCCCACACACACACACACACACACACGCACACGCACGCACGCACACGCACGCACGCACGCACACACACACACACACACAGCGTCTTCAGTATCAGATTGCTTACTACGAGCAAGAAAATAAATTGCATAAAAAATTCACTCGCGTCAATCGTTTATCGTGAAACTCATCACCAATAGATAAGCTTGGGTGTTGGTGCCTACAAAGTTGGTGGACCCGGGCCCTGCCAGCAAGCGGAGGAGGTATCCATGGCAACCCTGCGAGTGGCTCTACCAGGCACCGTCACACTGACCAACTCAGTGGAATACTTACCCACCAATACTTACCTCACCCCCCTCACGAGGGAGGGANCAAAAACCAAAACAAAATCAAACAGACAAAATAATCGACTCAGTTCTCCAAGCTGCAAGTACATTTAACGTGGCTGACTGAAAAGGGGATCGAAATATATAAATAAATAAATAAATAAATAAATAAATAAATAAATAAATAAGTAAAGTAATTAAAAATTAAACGCGAGGTACCTTCTCCTGGGTGTGTCTGTTTCACTGCCACTACTTTGTCCTGCTGATCGACGGTGGGGCCTGACGAAATTAAACATCATGAAGAACAACACTTAACGACCAAATCGTTATTAGCAAACTTACACAGAGTTCCCCAATACAAGATACAAGTAACACGAGACGATTGAGCGTATTGTGCTGGTTGTACTACAGCTCAAGCAATCAAAATAATTACCTTGGAAATTTGGGTGACCTCTTCGCTCGGCCAGATCCTGAGCTTCTCAGTGACCGGGGGGAGTCTGGGGCTGGCGTGTACAAGCCACTGTTGGTGAACAATAAGTCAAAACAGAGTTAATCCTTTTTTTCCGGGCTCTAAAATAGTCATCATGTTGATAAACTTCATTATGTGGTTTTCACGTAGGTGTGAACTTAGAATTTCCCTTTTGACAACACAATATGAATGTCAAGTTCAGCAGTTTTTATCAAAAGCAACGGTGCAATTTCTACCGAAGGAAAAAAAGTTACAGATTGACACTATAAGAGGTACTACTCAATTGCGTGCCTTCACTTCCGTCTAAAAGCCTCTCACATTTTAGCCAGAGAGCGCACTTCGATGAGGTGTCATAGAAGGATAACCAAAGCAATTACAATAATGGCCAATCAGAACACAGCAAAAAATAATAATAAGAGCCAATTGGTGCTCGAAACAAAGTAAAAATTCAAACTTCCAGAAGCGCGGGAAAACGCGGGTAACCAAGTCACAGTTGAGATGAGTCTGGCACGACAGAGCTGAATAACGTATACGCATGCGCTAGGTTTTGCCGCGGAAACACGGATTTTGAGTCGTTTGCATGGTTGAGTTCCTCTTCTGTTGCTTCGAGGTGCGTTTTCCTTACCGCTTTTCTTTTACAGAACAACCTCCAAAAACTTGGTACACCCCCTAAAAATTTTCAAAAATTAGTTTTTACCTTAAAACCTCTGGAAGTAGGAAAATGCCTTCGACGAAAAACAGAGTTCCTCGGTTTTAAAAGTCAGCCCTTATTATTTTCCGCTAATTTCGCTAAATTTTAGACCTAGGACACTTGAGCCCGCGTTATTGACCGCATACCCTCTGACGTGGGCATTTCATTATTCAGCTCTGTCGTCTGGCACCTAGTAGGTTGGGATTTAGGCGTCAGTTTTCTAGACCAATCCCAGAACGAAGTAAAGCCAAAACTACCTTCGACACTCACATGAAAATTGTTCAAAAGTGTGGTTACTACAACAATGCGATAGAATAGTTTGAGGACTTTCATTTGAAAAGACGACCAAGCGAAATATTTACTCTCTCTAAACACACTACTCTTTCGAACCTGCTAATCTCTAAACGATGATGATCCGTCTGCAAATCGAATCCTCAGAAAACAATCAGTTTATTTTTTTATCCAATACCAGTGACAAATGTTTCATATCTCTCTTTTTTTATAATATGAAGTTTTGAAAAAGACGAAATTTAATCTGTACACTCAGCATTAAAACCGATCCAGCTTATTCAACCAAACGGAAAGGTCAAATGTCGAGATAAGAAGAGAAAAAGAAGAGGTTTCCTTACCCTTGCATCTGAGCGGATTGTTCCCACGGGAGGGCTGGACCTTGATGTCCATCGACAGCTGTAGTATTACCATTAAGAGAGCTTGGATCACCTTCAGTTTTAATCCTGAAAAAAAAAAGAGACAAATTTTTGTTTCGTGTACTACATAGGAGCTTTTTTTTTTTTTATAGCAAGACCAATTTTATATAAGAGCTGTACTTACCCAGTGCCATTAGGACCCGTAACTGGGACAGTTATAACCTCAGCTTGGTTGTCTGTTTGACTGAAGCGTCGAATCTGAACCTGCGATGCGTTGGTTGGCGTAGCCACTGAGACATTAGTTTGAACTAAATCGAAACAAAACAAAACAAAGCCGCTTTAGAGAAATCCACTCACTTAAACCCCTAAGCTCCTACAAGTAACTACAGTACTGGCCGCAGGAATAGCAGCATCACACGCGAGTTTCAGGCGAGTAAATTCGCCATATTGCGCGCAATTTACACGCAAATTACGCGCGAGTGACGCGCAGGTAAAATGAATACGCAAAACTGCGTGTAAAAAATTACATGCAAATTCTTCGTAATGCGTATAAAATTTTACACACAGAGTTTCGTGTAAAACAGGGCAGAGTATTTACTCTTGTACATCAATTAATAGCGGTAATAAGCGGCTTTTTCTCGCAGAAAAATCTTGCATCATGATGTCTAACAGAATTGGTGGCTTTCTTAATATATCATCCCTGAATCACACATAAAGGTCACCAGAGTAAAGGAAATGATCACCAAATAAAGAAGCTCTCGATTGTTAAAAGAATTTCCCCTGTCACTTAGGGAAAAGTATGGAGAAGAGAATGGAGAATAAGCATACTGATGTGAGAGTGTATAGTGCTGGAGGAAATTAAAGTACATCCTCTTTTAATATAAAGGACAACCATATCTTTGGATCGTTCCTGTAATCTCCTTCCGTCTTCAAACAAAGGTTTTGAGCAACTTTTGCATCGAGCAAATGTCGAGACAAGAGAATTGAAATTCATATAAAGCTGCCTGCAGTAATTCCAAGAAAAACAGTAATTTCTACTACGTCTTATTTCCTCCCAGAAATCATTTCTTGGATCAAATGAAGATAACATACATTTTTCTCCTGATTGACTGATCCTTCTTTCGTATCGTTTGCTGGGTTTTCTGAAACGCAAAAAGGAAGTCATTTCAATTAGATGTTTTTTTTAATATCAGTATTCAATATTTTAATGTCAAGATTTAATATCTAATCAACCACTTCAACTGAGGAGAATTGAACAACATTTTTGAGACACTCCTAAAATAGCTTTAACCTTCACCCCAAAGATCTAAGAATAAATTCACCTAACTTTACTGACCATACGCCATACATTTCTCATAATAGAAGCAGTGAGAATTTACTGTTAAATCAAAGAAAATTTCTTAGTTGATATTTTTGACTGACATTAAGGTGATTCCTCAGAAAAAAAGTTAGGGAACAAATTTTTTTAAACTCTCCTTAAATGTTCCCAACCAATGTCTGTTTCGAAAAATACAATAAAAAAAAAGGTCACAGTGCTTGTTTAGGAGACATGATGGGCCATTCTTACCCAATTTATGCCTGTACTGGAACTTATCACGCGCGTCATTTCATCGATTCACGATACATTTTGCGGTAGCTGGAAGCAAGGGTTTTTGAAGTAACACTTGAAAAAAACTTGATAGGTAGAAAGTCACGAGCGTAAGGACCAATTTGATGTGAAATTTTGTGGAAAAATTACGCAACTTTAAACGACATCGAATCGAGCGTTCCTCGAATCGTTGCTTTCAATGTCATAATTTGCATAATCGAGTAACGGGCATCGTGTAAACTTTAATCCTTTTTTCCCCTTTGACGATTTTTTTTTTAATCTGTCCAATTCAAAGGGGTCAATTTGTACACCAAAATTATGCGATTTAAAATATAGGTTACCGTGCTCGTTCAAGAGCTAAAGGCCATCCTACCTTTTTACCATTGATTGAAAAACCAAACCGTGTTCTCGAAATGCGCGTGATTTTCATGCGCAGTACAGGATGCGCAATGCAATATTGACGAATCACCTTAAGTGACCCTCTTTGAGCAACTGAAAGTAGTCAAATGTGCCAGAGCATCATCTCTGTTGTAAAAAATAACTCATACCGTTTCACTTGCAGATCAGGCCTTTGAATCTTTTTACCATCTTCCAATGCTTCTTTCTGTGTCCTACCACTAAGGAAATCAATCACCGAAAAAAATGCTGACAGGTAATTAAAGGTAAGTTGGTAAAGTCTACACTCAAGCCAAGTGGAACATCCAGTCAGAGTTGATACCAGTTTCTGTAGCATGAGGTGACCAGAAGTGTTGCAACTCCTGGATGGGGGGATGCTAGTCCATCGTAGGTCCCCCCCTCCCTCCCTCCTTTCCCTGACAGTTCACTGGTACCCATTCGTACTCTCCGGTGGAGAGAGGCTTTGAGAGTGTAAACAGGACACAATGACACAAGACACAACAGAATGACCCAGCAAAAATCTTGACCCAGAGTACTGGGCCCAGTTGTTCAAAGAGTGGATAATGCTATCTAACAGACAATTTGCTATCCAGCAGATAAGTGTTACCAAACCGTACTGTGCTATAGAGTATTATAGAGGTACGATAGAGATTCACCCAGTGGCTGGTGTTATCTACCCTTCCAACAACCATGGCTGGTTATATAGCCAGGACAAAAACTTATGTTGCATTTTTTTTATTGAAAAGCTGTTTTCAAATCTATCTGGCATGGTGCAAATCTATCTGGCATGGTAATCAAGAAATGGATAGATATTCTAGTCTTCTCGGGTAAGGACGAATAAACCGTAGGCCCTGTCTCCTGCAGGGTTGGGGGTAGGAGTCGTTAATTTCCCACGCACGAGATTACTGTGT